CCCCCCCCCCCCCCCCGTCGACAACTTTGACAATTTCCGACAACATTGACAATTTTCCGACGGGTCTCAACAATAGGGGGAGCCATGGCCACCCCTGGCCCCCCCGGCCACGGCGCCGCAAATTTCGAAACCGTCGACGGTCGAGCAGATCATTGATGGTCGAACACATCATTAATTTCGTTCCCAGATTGCTTTTGAGGTGATTTGCGCGTGGAACCATTTGGTGACACCTTATACCAATCGATGCCAGCAAAGATTTTACGCAGTATGATAGTATAAGGTTTCAGATTTTTGAAAAGATGGCATGCAAAGCAGCCAATTCGGTTATTATTCATTCTACAAAAGAATTCAGAGTTATAAACAGATTTTTCACATTAAGTGTGGGCTTAGTTATGTTTCAGTAAAGGCCGATAAAATTGGCTTATATTGTGTAAACGGCTGCTGTAACTTGGTCAAAAAAGTTCCGTGCGTCAATTTTTTATATTCATCAAGTTACCTACCGTATTTTTAACGTACGAAGTCACGAGAGCGAAGAAACGAATTTTAAGGCAAATTAAATATAATGGCACAGTCGGAGACGTGCTCGCCAGTAACACTATACGCTAAGATTTGTTACTAAAGCTAGGCCCTGTCACACTATTGCGTATCGTACTATCGTATGCCAGCGTATGAAAAATATCACTTATACGCCGGTATATACGCTGACATACGCTAGGGCTACGTTAGACATAGGTTGTATACGTTTCAAGCACGGTCGCATACGGTGGCATACGCTGGCATACGGCGAGGCAGAAAATTTTTTTAAAGCATGTTCAAAAATTTTGTGCGTATCGAACGTATGCTTTATACGATAAACATACTCTAGGCACACGCTGAATACGCTAGAGATACGCCAGATGTACGGTACTCATACGCTGGCATTTCAAAGGATTTTTGTGCGTATGAAAATTATTTCATTAATTTTCATACGCTTCTCATACGTTTCTCTCATACGCAATAGTGTGACAGGGCCTTAAAGAAAGCTTGATATGTTTTCTATTGCTCAATATATATATGAGTGCACATGGTTCAAGTAAAAATGGAACCGCACAGCTTAATAATACCATAACTAACATTTCACTTTTACTTGAACCACTCAAAATATATCATATTTCAATTTTAGCATTAGCCGTGGACTAATCAAAAGTGCAAGGTTTATAGATATATTATTATTATAGATAGACATTATGTTAAAGCTAACTGTAAATAGCATGTATAATATTGTTGCTAATGTTGGTATTTTCCACGTCACTCTGTTGTGTCTAGTTTTGAGATGGTTCTCTATTTTTCACTTCACAAGAGTTTTAATTAGTGAAGACACTTAGACACTTCAAAGTTAAGATAATCAAGTAAATTTTACAAGATAGTTACTGCAACACTTGTGCGAAGAGCAGTAACCAGTAAACCGAATTGGCTGTTTTGCTTTTCGACTGCTACCCGCCATCTTTTCAAAAAATATGAAACCTTATACTGCGTGTAATCTTCAGTCACTGACATCGTCTTGGTACAATATGTCACCAAATGGTTTGTACGCGCTAATCACCTCAAAAGCAATCTGGGAACGAGATTAATGATGTGTTCGACCATCAATGATGTGCTCGACCGTCGACGGTTTCGAAATTTGCCACGGCGCCACTGCCATGCAGATCTTTCCGTTGAAAACAGGGGCGAAACTAGTCCCTTTTAATTCGGGGGGTATCTCTCAGAATTGCCCTGCCAAAACCGATAATGCCCTGGAGTAAATTTTTATTTCTGGCCATTATTTTTTCCAGAAATGTTTAAAAAACTTTTCCGGACATAAACCAGTTACATTAAGGGTCAAATTTTTTTCCGTACAACTTCGTGTTAAAACATGGGTGAAACCCTTATTTTTGGACCAATATCTGTGAAATTTAGGTCTATAAATTAATAATAATAATAATAACTTCTTTATTTAAACTGGTAAAAACCGATCAGCTAACAAAATATCAGCTGGTATAAACCGATGACCAGCATTAATATATAAATAGTTTACATCCATAATACTATATATTATCTAAAACAAAACCACACCACATGCAATACTAGAATAGATATAAAAAATGTTTAAAAATATATATATATATATATTTAGTGCTAAGAGTTACTATATGCTACAACGATGTTCGTGAGCATCAGTTTCTAAGAAAAACTTAAAAATATTGTTTTTAAAAGAGGACAAAGTCTTTAAGTCTCGTAAGTGTTTTGGCAAGGCGTTCCATTCTTTCGCGGCCGAACATTGAAATGATGACTCGCCCATTTTCGATTTGGTTGGAATTACGCACAACAACGTGGTGTCTCTCAGGGATCTATTGTGCGTTTCTGATCTTCTACTAAAATAACCAATTAGTTGTTGTGGACAGTCAATGTTGTATATAATTTTATATACTAATTGCAAACGAAGAAAGCGCCTTCTGCTGCTTAATGACAATAAGCCCAGTTTAGTGCGCATTTCTTGCGTGCACGTTTTGCGATTTGCTGATAGTATAATACGCATCGCTTGATTCTGCATTCTATTAAATCCCCTATGAAAGCCATATAAATTTACCTCATAACTCTACATTCTATCATTTAAAATCTTTGATTGCCCTGCCAATCCAGAAGATTCGTTTTTTGGGGGGGGAGAGGGGGTCACACCCCCATACCCCCTCAAGTTTCGCACCTGATTGAAAACCTCGGGTCTGACCGGTCAGGCCATTAATTAAATGGAAAGGGCACTATAACCACACGTAATTAAATTAGAACGCGGCATATAGCAAACAATGATTCTAGAAAACGTTTTTGGTCAAATTGAAAACAAATTATTCCAAAGGCACGAGTTGGCACGATGTCGAGAATTTGCTGGCACGATGTCGAGAGTTGGCACGATGTCGAGAATTTCCGGCTTCGCACGAATTTTTTTCCCGAACTTTTGTAATATATTTGTTTTAGACTTTTACAAATTTGCCGTGCTCGATATTTTTTCATCAGTTCAGAGCATGCCCGATATTGTTTGGATTTGCGCCCTCACCATCAAAAATCAAATCGTCCGTCCCTAAAGTCAGCATGCATTTTTCATACAAGATGTATAAAAAAAGGTACTCAAATTTTAATATGTTCACATGCATGCATTAGATATCGAGTTTATTGATAAAACTTTTATTAATAAGGATACATTTCTTGTGTCATAAAGAAAAATTTCCATCAACTCTTCATCAACTTGTATGCACTCCCATCAATTCTCAAACAACAACAACAACAACAACAACAACAACAACAACAACAACAACAACAACAACAACAACAACAACAACAACAACAACAACAACAACAACAACAACAACAACAACAACAACAACAACAACAACAACAACAACAAACAAGAACGACAACAAGAAACACAACAAACAACTACAACAGCAACAACAACAACAACTACAGCAGCAACAACTACAACTACAGCAGCAACAACAACAACAACAACAACAACAAACAACTACTACAACAACAACAACAACAACAACAACAACAACAACAACAACAACAACAACAACAACAACAACAACAACAACAACAACAACAACAACAACGAGAAAACGACAACGACAACAACGACAACAATGACAATGACAACGACAACAACGACAGTAACGACAGCAACGACAACGACAGCAACGACAACGACAACGTCAACGACAACGACAAGATTAGTAGCGATTGGGGAATTCAGTGGGAAACTTAATATTCGCTAGATTGAATAGGAATACTTCATGCTGGCAATATTTAGAGATCATTTTAAACCAAGTTCGAATATTCCTTGCTAAGTTTAACAATGTCTGGGTACAGTACAACATTCGCATTTAATGCCATAACAAAATCAACGTGATTAAATTCCTCCAGTTTCTTTTTATAGATCAGATTTTTCAGTTTTGGTATCAGCAATTTGACGTCGGCCGGATCCGAAAGCACGTCGTGACCTCCCGAGAATATAGCGATAGGCAAGTCGATCTTTCCCACATCATATTGGGGTGGTTTTGCCTGAAATGATGGTGTCTAATTTTAGAATATATTACAAAAGCTCGTAATACAGACACCTCTCTAATATCGACAGCCCCGAATATGCAGAACTAACACAAACACCTCTGTAGTGCAGATACCTCTCTAATACAGACACCTTTTCAATGCAGACACCTCTCTAATACAGACACCTTTCTAATACAGACACCCTTCCAATGCAGAAGCCTTTCTGATACAGATACCTTTCTAATACAGACACCTTTCAAATGCAGGCACATTTCTAACACACCTCCCAATACAGATACCTTCGTAATACAAGCACCTCTCAAATACAGACACCTATTTAATACAGACATCTCTCTAATAAAGGGACATCTTTCCAATGCAGACACCTCTAATACAGATACCTCTCTAATACAGACATCTCTCTAAAACAGACGCCTCTCTAATATAGACACCTCTCTAATACAGACACCTCTCTAATACAAACACCTCTCTAATACAGACACCTCTCTAATACAGACACCTCTCTAATACAGACACCTCTCTTATACAAGCACCTCTCTAATACAGGCACCTCTCTAATACAGGCACCTCAATAATACGGACAACTCTTTAGAACAGAGCTTTCTGATTCAGACACTTCTCTAGTATGGAAGATTCCCTACCTGGCCGTAATGGAGATAGTTTTCAATGATACCATAGTCAAACATTTGACATTTTCCTGAGACCAGCAACTGAAAAAAAAGCCAACAAAAACATCATCTCTGTGGTGCCCTTTTAGTTAGTGGCATATCGCGTCTGTTTAATTGAATGGTATAATTACCTGAGCAAGATGAACCATATCTCTTAAAGAAGTCCCTGATGGAAAACTGTTGAGAAATACGGGAATACGACTCTGAAATTAAGAAAAAAACTCAACTAACTTTATTTATACTGGATAGCTGTACCAGTTCTAAACTGTTCTTCCTAGAGGTCCAGTAAGGATTATTTCTTATTGATTTAGTGTTATTACTGGATTAAATCTAAATTAAAGTAACTTTATTATACTGGCTAGTTCTAAACTGACAAATTGTTCTTCCTAGAGGTCCAGGAAAATTTATCTCTTATTGATTCAGTGTTGCTACAGGAAGAAACTTAAACAAAACTAACTTTGTTGATACGGGATATCTCTCTAGTTCTAAACTATTTTACAAGATCATCGAAAGTCAAAACTCTTATAAATATTTACCTACATAATTTACATTTGTGGGGTCATTTCCAAAAAAAAATTTCGCAACTTGATAACATAGTTTTTCCTCTGTCAAACCGTTGCAAAAACCTTTCTCGATAAACTGCGTTCGCCATACATTACCAGGAAGAAATGGTGCATCGATAACTGGTGCCACAGCCTGGAAATGTAAAATTGAGCTATGAAAAATGATTGCACAATGACATCAGCATTATCAACACCATCTTTACCATCATCAACACCATGCCCACTATCATCATCACCACCACCATTATTATCACCGCTACCATCGTCACCACCACCATTCATTATCAACATCATCAGTGTCATCAACATCATCATCATTATCACCACCACCATCATCACCACCATTATCACCACCATCGCCACCACCAGCATCACCACCATCACCAGCATCACCACCAGCATCACCACCATCACATCACCACCATCACCTCCATTTCTCATCATCGGCGTCATCATCATTATCAGCATAATTCCTCATCATCGGCAACGTCATTATCAACACCATCATCATCACCACTATAATCATCGTCACCACCACCATTATCATCATCAGCACCACGTATGCGTGACTGGACAGTTGCTGTAGCAGTGTACAGTAAATTTGCTTGTTAAAGTGCAGTATATGTAGGAATCATCATCATTATCATCCTTATCATCCTTTTTATATTGTAACATCTTCATTATCATCACCACCACTATCATCATCACCACTATCAGCATCATCAGCATCAGCATTACCACCTTCATCACCACCACCATCATTATCATCATCGCCACCATCACTAACATTGTCACCACCACCACCACCATCTTCATCATCAGCGCCACCATCATCATTATCATCACCGTCATTATCATCGTCATCATCGTCATCATCATCACCAACATCATCATCACCGTCATTCTTATCACCACCACCATCATCACCACCACCATCATCATCACGATCATCATCATCATCATCACCACCACTATTATCATCACCATCATTATCATCACCGTCATTCTTATCACCACCACCACCATCATCATCACCATCATCATCACCATCATCATCATCATCATCACAATCATCATCATCACCATCATCATCATCACCGTCATTCTTATCACCACCACCATCATCACCACCACCATCAACATCACCATCATCATCATCATCATCACCGTCATCATCATCACCATCACCGTCATCATCATCACCACCACTATGATCATCACCATCATCATCATCACCGTCATTCTTATCACCACCACCATCATCACCACCATCATCATCATCATCACCGTCATCATCATCACCATCACTATTATCATCACCATCATCGCCATCATCATCATTATTATTACCACCACCACCATCATCAGCACCATTATTATTACCACCACCACCATCATCAGCACCACCATTATCATCAGCATCATCGCCAACATGACCATTATTATCATCAGCACCCCCACAATTATCACGACCATACTTACACCAAAAACCGTAGTAATTTCAGCCACTGTTTTGAGATAAGGCACCATCATGTTTCCAATGGTGACAATAGGAGCGAGGGCAATGAACAGTTTTATTTTCTTTGCAAATTCAGGGTTAGTAGACAGAGCAGCAAACGCGATCAGAGTTCCCTGAGAGTGACCAATGTAGACCAGTTGATCTTGTCCAGTGGTACGTTCAATATGATCCATAGTTGCAGGTAAATCGTACTTTGCCATAGCATCAAATCTAGTTGGAAAATAGGAAAGAATATGACGCTTGTGATGTTACTCTGAATGTATATCCACGCCGGGCAGGCTTGAAAATATGCTTCGCCACGGTGAAAATCGCACCTACGACCTTTGGAATACTAGCCCAATACTCTGCCAACTGAGCTACGCAGTCAGGTCGGTTCGAGTAGGTGATATTTCGGAATTGAGTCTAGTTCCTCAGTTCCGATATATCACTTATTCGAACTGACCTGACCGCGTAGCTCAGTTGGCAGAGCATTGGGCTAGTATTCCAAAGGTCGTAGGTTTGATTCCCACCGTGGCCAGGCATAGTTTTCAAGCCTGCCCGGTGCGGATATACACTCAGAGTGACATCACAAGCATCTTATTCACCTGAGTACATTACACCAATACAAAAAATATCAGTAAAGAATATTATTACATCGGTCCTTCCTTCATTTATTCGTCGGAGTTTAAATATCATGGTTAAATGTGTAAACATGTTGAGATTATTACACATCCATATTTCTAATATACTGTACTTTAACAAGCAAATTTACTGCACTGTGCTACCGCAACTGTCCAGTCACGCATATGTGATAAAAGCAGATGTAAACTTTATAAACAAAAGATAATGTAAAACGTAACAGAACGGCGAAAATGCAGATTCGGCCATCTCAAATAATGGTAATGCTGGGATAGTAGCGTTGCAGACTGCAGAGGAGAGTGGGCAGTGTGGCTCCCTCATGCAGCACCCCTCATGGAAAACATGCACCCCTCCTTGCAGATGAGGCTAGATCCGCCCATGTTCATTCCTCGCTGCCTGCCTCAAACTGCTAGTACTCACGTCCATTTCCAAAACTTCAAGCAATCAGGTGACAGATGTGTATTTCTTCTCGAGTATCTGTTCCCTCGCGAATTTCCAAGCCAAACGTCGAAACC